TAAGCTAACCACAACGCGACAACAAATTTTACAATATTGTGTACAAAAAGAAAATTATTCACAAGTTTTTTTTATCATTTGCCTCTACAGATTATCTTATAAGGTTAATTTTTTTTCTTCTTCTTCTGCCTTGCTGCTATTCTTGCTTGCTTTTTTTTTTTTTTTTTTCCCCTTTCTCTAGCCCAACATGGAGGACAAATTTCGCGAAGCCTTCATCTTGTTCAGCTCGTGTAAGGACAAGATGGAGTTGCACCAGTTTTACGAACTTATGCATTCCTTTGGTATTATCCTCTCGGCTGAGGAGAAGGCTGATTTACCCGTGGTAAGCAATGCCGCACAGAAGTATACATTAACCGCGGCCCTGTACACACACAAACACACGCACACACAAATACACACTGCCGCCGCTACTCTACCCCCACAGATGGTCGACATGGAATTCTGGCTGAACGTGGCGAACAAGCACTACAACCACGAGGACCCCTTCAAGCATGTCCGCGGGTTGAGCGACAAAAGCTCCAGTGTTCAAATCAAAATTCAAAACTTCATAGGGGTGAGTTGGTCAACATACGCCGCACGGATGATCGTGCATCTGTGTGAATTATAACGTCCTTTGTGTATTTGCCGCTGTACAACACACACATGACTTCACTCCCCCCCCCCTCTCAGGTAATGAAAGCGCTGGATACGAGACTCACAGATAAAGACCTGGAACTCCTCCTCAAAATAGCAAACCCAGAAAACCACGACACGATTGACTTGAACACTGTCTCGCAGAGACTAGCCCAGGTTATCTAGGTGCTCCCACTATAAGGACTGTGTGTGTGTGTGTGTTCCTTTTTTTTTTTTTTTTTTTTGGTTTTTTTGTCCCCACCCGGACAAAAATATCGCCAGTACAAAACTGTTCTATCGTTCGCCGCGTGCGTTTGTTCCTTACCGTTCGTCTGCATATAAAAACCACCAACGTGGAACAACAAAAAAAAAATATATATGTATATATATATATATATATATATATATATATATATATATATATATATATATATATATAATAAAAATTAAATGAAAGTAATTTCCCCCTTTTTTGTTCTTCCTGTTCCGTTTTGTCTCCTCACATTCGTTACATCGTTGTATTTATATGTACACACAGTCGTGTGCGCACACATCAGGATGGGTGTTTTTTTTTATCTGTTGTATTTTCTCCTTATTTGTGATTAATGTAAAAACGATACTGAACCATGACAAAGGCAATGCTCACGAAACTACATGCGACTGTGTTGATGATGCGACAAACGGTTTGCTGCTCCCTTCTGCGTGTGCCCACGTGGAGGCGACTCCACATTTGCTGCCCACAAAATACTAGGCCTATGTGCATGTATCAGGACTGTTACCCCAAACAATTGCCACACAAACGAGGGAGAGAAGGTGGCCCCATTCAATGCTAACCAAATCGACACAGACGTAAAAAAAAAGAAAGCAGGAAGAAAATGTTGGTGAGGGTAAGAGACCCCCTTCTTGGTCTGTTGTCTCCTCATGTATCTCTGCAACGCAAGGAATGTTCAATGGAGCTGAAATTAGCTGCCTTCTGGCTTTCCCCTCTTTTTAAAGGCGTCCCCTTTGTGGGTGGAGGTGGGTCCCAAAAGGCAAGGGCACAATTTCTGACTTGGTCATATTATTTTAAGGATGACTCATGGAATGGAAATTAGGAAAGTAATACAGAAGGAGGTTGGTTCGTCTTTGCCTCCGCTTAGTGCTATTCTTCTTCCACCTTATCCCTTTGCCTTTTTGTGTTTTTTTTTTTTTTTTTTTTTTTTTTTTTTTTTTCCATCTCCATACATTTTATTTGCTCGATGATCTTCCGGTAGTCTGACCCTCCTACCACCCCCAGGGCAACGTCCCCCTTGGAGTGGAGCTTGCGTAGAACGTGCACCAAGCGCTCTTCAATCGGCTGCACGGGGGAGGGAAGTCATGTGTTCGGCATGTGCACGCCATGTAAACGGTGAGCGGGCGGCTGACCCGTGTGGATTGCTCCCATGCGAACCACTTCAAATCGAAGCAAGGCACATGTACCTCCCCCCCCATTTCTCACCGCCCTTGCGTGGGTCAGGGTCCCATCCACGTCAAACAAAAAAAAACGCTTCTTATGGAAAGTCATGTTTGCTTCTACACTCCACTTGGGTGGGTCACCGGGCAAAAGTCCAGCAGCAAATGTTTTTTGCGCACGTTGGGTTGTAGCAGGTGAGGACGGCGCGAAATGGACGAGTGAACAGATTTACGCGGACACGTGACGGAACCATGTAACGGGCATGGCGAACATAATTGAATAATCATGTCACTGTCCTGACGTGGCTACATGCTGTGCCACAAATAAAACTGTTCACACGATGTTACACCACCTCAGCGTTTTTCAACATTTGCGCAGACGAGAAAAGTGTCCTCTCCAAGGAACGCTTCTTAACTGCGCACAGATTTCTGAACCCCGTGACTGACGGGACGCGTGTTTGCGATGCAGGCAGTTGAGTGGAAAAAAGTTTACGTAACACCCTACACATGTGCACACACACATATATGTACACCTAGCGGGGTGTCGCGCTTTTAATAAGCACACAGAGATGGGGGTGTAGAGTCCGTCCATATCACCTATCAGTTTAGTCCCCCTTAGCAAACGATGCATGGAACTGTAGCGTCGCGTAGCCCCCTTTCCCAACGTGTTGTCACGCGATACGGTGTGCCCCTACACCAGCCGAGGTTCCTTTAAGCCGCCACGCATAAACACACATCGCGGAAATTGGCGGAAAAAAA